GGGCCCATGACCTGGCTTGCTGGGGGAAGGCTGATGCTGGTGGGCAAAAGGGGAGGATGGACCCAGTGCTCCAGGGTCCAGGGAGTTGATGTTCAGAGCCAGCATTTACAGTATGCAGTGATAAGCTGCAAAAAGAATACGTAGCCTTCCTGACTCATTAATGCACACAAAGCTTTGCACTTCACAGGGCACAGCTGTGACGCACTGTTATTGTGCTATGGTGTACGCACCATTTCAAAGTTGTCCGGTTCTTGGAGCTAGGATAAAACTCTCGATAATCTGAGATCTCTGGAGATTAGGACATATTTTTTTTCCTGTTGGTTCAGACAGGCGTATCTATCTCGCATCCTTACTCAACTGGGTGATGTCTCTAGGCGTAACTGCAGCACATCCAAAAACCTCACCCCGCTTATTTTCCCAGTGGAAAGTTCGTTTATGAAATCCTGGTTTGAGAAACAGTCAAATGACTGGGGATTGTGTAATTTTATTTGTAAAATTTGAAGCCTAATATAGATGTCTCATATGGCTATTTTGCTCGTGATTCAGTTTTAATCAGCATTAATGTACGTCTCCAGCTTCTTTCACTCAACCAGACAAAGTTGCTAATACACAGCCTGCTTTTTCAGGTTGCAGAGAACCAATGCACGGTCGTCAAGTAGTCTGTAGGTTGTGCCTTACAACATAAAGTTTACTCAGAGCATACAATTAGATTGTCTTTTTGAGCAACTCACTACTGTCCTAAAATAAGCAGTGAGGCAACAGCAATGTTGCTAGTTCATAAAAGGTTATGGCAAGTTTGATGGAATTTGGTGATAGAGCAGTCAGCTGATGGCATCCTCCCATTACTGAAAAAAACCTTTACCTTTTACTTTAAAAAAAAAAAAAAAAAGTCCAAATCAAAATGGTTGCAGTTCTTCTTCCTCCAGAGAAGGGCCAGGGCTCATGATCCAAGGGTATCCAAAAATCTCTGCTCATGTGTGTGTGCATGGGAAACTCTAAGCCTGCTTCAATGTAGCTGAATGTAGGTGTTTTTTTTTTTGTTGGTAATACTATCTGTCTCACAGGGAAGACAAGAAGCCAGCTCTATTTATAGTTCAGATTCACTGTCAAATGCTGTCTTTCACAACAGCTTTATAAATGGTGCGGGACAGATTCTCAGCTGGCACAAGCAAGCAGAGGAAGAGAAGTTGTGCCAATTCACGTTAGTCGAGAGAAATAGCAAAATCATCTCGAGGGGCAGAAAGCACTTCAGAAGCACCCAGCAGCACTTCACTGAACCACTGTGACACACGTCTGCAAGTACAAGCATTACTGTAGATGTCATTTAGTCCTGTACCGTGCCTCCAGGGAAGGCAAACAGCCCCTATGCACCACCCCTGTTGCTATGTCCTGTGTCCTGTTAGTAACAGGGGCTGGCAGAGCCCACAGAGATGGTGAAAAATACTGGACATGGAGAATACACTTCATGACAGGTAGGCTCAGGATTTAGGCTGCTGCCATAATGTTTCATAAATTCATCCTAAAATTAACTTGGAATGGCCATCCTCGTGCTCAGTGGGAAAACGTGTAGGTGTGCAAAACTAAAGTTATACCATGACAGGAATAGCTTACCTGGGCTTTTCAACCCAGTAGCTAAATAATGCAGTAACATCCTTGAAAGTGCTTCAGTTACATAGGAACCTAATGGCAGTTTTACATATAGGTAAATGTTGGTAGGGGTTCAGAGCCCTGGGTGACCATCTCAGACTTTTTTCTACTCCCTCTAACCTACCACAAATAGGACTTGGAGCTTCAGCACAAAGCAGAGTTAGTTAAGACAAGTAGAAGAGCTGCGTGGGAGAGTAAGAGAAAATCACTTCTTGAAAATAGACTTGAGGAATGAATCTTTGCCAAATGAATGGAAGATTTGACATCTTTTTTCTGCTTGCTGTGTCTTGAGTCAAATGAGATGGAACCAGTGGGGAATACTGTGAATGCCCATTCCCGTCTAGCCAGCATCCTTGTGGTTCATCTGCTTAGTCACCCAGCTGTGGGAGACATCACTTAATTGCAGGAGGTCTCAAAGCAAGGTCTCTAATCTAACAATGTCTTTTTATGTTTTTTATTGTGTTGTTTCTATCTTACTCTCCTGTTGAGACTTGTCTTCTATCAATGAACTCTTCTTAGTCCCTGGGATGGCTTATTGCACATGTTCGTTGTAATGTCTTGAAGCTGATGTATGCAGTTCATCAGTCAGATGCATTCATTGTGAGCTTTCAGCAGTTCTGTGGTGGGACAGGCCACCATTGGCATAGGAAGTGCTGGTACCACAAGTCCCTAGAACTGGACCTACGGAGCAAATCCAGAAGCTGAAGGAGCCCTCTAAAGAGCCATGATGGTGGTAGATCAGTTGCACACCACTGCCAGTCTGCTGGCTTTTGGTAGCCACTTGCAGGCATCTGGGCTGGCAGATGCCACTGCCCCTGCAAGCTGAATGTTAAAGTCAGGTTGAACGTGATTTAAAGGTAGAGGAGAATGTCTCTCTGGTATAGGTAACCAGTAGTGCAGATACCCCCAAGTGAAAATGCAGTTAATTGCCTTTTTGCCTTCCAAGTACATATGGATCCAGTGCTTCTCTGCTTTCTTTTTCTACAGGGAAGGTATCAGAAATACTGCCTCTGTGGGCATCAGTGTCATCTCCTGATCTGTTGGGCAGCATCAGCCGCTTGGATTCTCTGAGACTGAGCATAAGGGAGCTGAGCTTTGCCTTGTCTTGCCTTCCATTACCACAAATAAGAAAATAACCTTTTCTTCAAGGATTAAGCTTAGTTGATTCACAGAGGTGTAGCATTTGCAAATAATTGAAACTGGATTTTAGTATAAAAGAGCATAGTTTGCTGCTATAGTTTTTTAAGCCTTTTTTGTCTTCCCATTTACATTAGGACTGACAAATATCCATTCATAATCTCTTCAGAACAGTTAGGAATCAGTGCCTGGGCTCGCTCCAAATGTACCTGTTATTTTCAACAGGGAGGTTGTCCCATGTCATACAGCACTAAAAGAAGGGATGACCGGTTTTCACTTCAGCTGATCAATGTTTTAGTTGCCTTTATGCATCCTTCTGCATTCATCAGTTGAAGGTACAGTGAATTACGTTTCTTTTTCTATGCACAGTAAGGCATTTAAATGTGCAAATAATTTAATCTACACCTGAAAACACTGCCAAAGAAGTTGCAGGTCAACTTTAAAATATTAGAAATGCTTCAGTCAAGAATTCCTTCTTCCTTGAAGATAAAGTAACTCTTGCATCTAGGCACTAAGGACTTTTTGTATAACATCCTTTCACTCATGCAAAAGCTCAACAAGCAAATGCATACTCACGCACAGTATCAGACCAGAATTTTAAAGTCGTTTTTGCTAGTGGAAATCACTCTTTATTTAAAGTGTAGTTAGTTCTTTATCATACTACCCAGTGTCTTGAAACCCACTGGATTATATTATCTATGTTATCTCACTAATTTATTTTCATCCTCTTTCTCAACTGTAAATCATTCTCTTCCTTTTTATATCAAAGGGCATATTCAAGTATTCTTGTTTGCCTTGAAGCTTGAATGCTGTTGTGTGTTACTTTGCAGGACCTCTTCTCAGGGTTCAGAGCTCAGTTTCTCAAGGACCATAAGAAAGGAGGGTCTTGTGTTGCTTAGATGAGCTGAGCTTTGCAATGCTGAGGACTCTCATCTCTTGACAATTAGCACTCAGTCCCTAGCATCTTGTATCTAGTAGAGATGGGATTCAAATCAGTTATTAACTGTCAGTTATGGTGGGTTGGTTTGCACAATATATGATGTTAGAACTGGCCCTTACTCCATCTGTGTGCTTTGGAGCGAGACCAGGAAGCTGGTTCTGGCTGCAGGGCGAGCATTGCTGTCAGTCCTGCCTGCAGTGCTTGCTGTGACCATCTCTCCTTATCGTCTTACAAAGAGGGGAGCTTCCTGCTGGTTTCAGGCTTTTTGAATTGCGTTGGACAGGTTTGCTCTGCTCTTCTCATGACGATTTAGACATAAGTGCAGCACTACCTCACTTCTTACGCTTTTGTGGTTGAGGATAAATGCTGCTCAGCAGGGCAAGCAGCTACTCAGTTTAGCAAAAGAACTGCAAAAAGAAAAAGGGGATGTTGAAGTTCTCAACTCCTTTTTTAGTATTTAAGCCTCTAAAGTAACTGGATATCAGCTTTCATGTTTTTCTTCTAGCCCTTATATCTAGGAACTTGATGCTTTTTCAGAATAAACAGAAGTCTCACTCCAGGAACTGGAGATTCCAGCCACCAATATCAAGTGACCTGCATTAGGAGTGGGGACTTCAGTGTTGCTGATTTACAGTGTTTCTTTAGATAGCAGCAGCAAGGTAGAAAAACAGGCTTACACCAGCTCTGTGTCACCAAGGAGTCCTCTCTGATCCAGTCTGACCAGCTCTACAATGTGTTTGAAGTGGTCTAAGTCACCTTCCCAGATGCATTCTGATCATATCTCCAAACATTAGAGGTTGTCAGACTAGATTATATTTTTATCTTTTTGTCTGCGATGGTAATTTTGTTTCTTAATTTCCCTCTTCGACAAAAAAAGCTAATTTAATACTTGAATTTGAAAGATGCAGAGCTCTCAAATTGCTATATTTTAATATAACTTCAAGTTAGTACTGAAAATACTGGTGTTTGTCCCAGAACAAACCTAATGAGGTATTACTGACTGTCATTTCAGGAAATGATTTGTAAAAGAGAAATTCCTCTCAGCATTTGCTGTCAGTGTCACTATCAGTGATGAAGTGTCAACTGAAAAAGCAACATGGTAACAGTCCCCTGCTGCAGCCTTTTCCAAGCGAGAAAGGATGTTTGTTGCCTGTAAGGTCAAGTCAGAGCAGTGCAGCACATGCAATGAAGAAAAATCATACAGAAAATAAGAGACTTCTTCCAAGGCAATTATCTGCAATTTTATAACTTGGGTGGTGCTTTTCTGTTTCTCCAGCAATGCAATCGGTCCCCTTGTTGCGCTCTGGCTTATCTATGAGCAAGGTGGTGTAATGCAAGAAGCGTCGACTCCCATCTGGCTGCTGTTTTATGGAGGTGTTGGGATCTGTGTGGGTCTCTGGGTCTGGGGTAGAAGAGTTATCCAGACCATGGGTAAAGACCTCACTCCAATCACACCATCAAGGTAGGTGCACAATTGTCATTACAGTTGTGTGAAGTTTGCGTGTGAACCAATCTGAGAAATTGCTATCCCAGTGTTTTGTTTATAATGCAGTTTTCTGGATTTGCTGTGCTTTGATTTTAATGATAACTGGCTTTAACTTCTCTGTCTTTCTGAAAAATGAAAGAAAGAAAGAGAAAAAGGAGAGAGAGTGAAAGAATGCAAAAAAAGCAAGAGAAAGAGAAAAGGAAAAATGATAACCCTGTAAACTAATACCGGATGTGTTTGAGGTGTAGAGGTCTACGTGAACAGTCTCTTGCTGATGACCTAATTAATGAGGCAGGAGGTGCATTTGGAAATGGCAAGATTACAGTGGCTTTCCCAGTGTGCTTCAGACTATTAAAACCATATCTATTTATTACAGTAATTTTCATCCTTAATGCATACTCGACCTCTGCTGGTGCTTCACTGAATTACTAATTAGGCATGATTCACCACAGCATAGAGTAGTAAAAGTCCATGATGCAATGAGCCCTGCAGCCGGGTTACTACAGATGACTAGACTGTGCCATTCCCATTATTCAGCCCTTCCTTGTTCTCTTAACTTATTCCTGTGACAAAAATCAGTTGGAGATAAAACAGTCGAAAGAAGAAACGGGTAAGGCTTTGGCACACTGCAAGGTATCAGTCCAAGCTGATGCAAAGAGTGATTGTGAAGTGTTTTCTTATGCTTCCCGCAGTGGATTCACTATTGAGTTGGCTTCGGCGTTCACAGTTGTGGTAGCTTCCAATGTTGGACTTCCTGTCAGTACTACACACTGCAAGGTATGCCTTTGCCCAGCGACTGCAGTCAAGGCAGTCTGGACTGTTCATCTTAAAATTGTGCTGCTTGAGCCAGCGGATAATGGCACGGCGAGGGGAAAACAGCCAGGACTCACGGAGGACTGTTAGGCAGAGGTGCCTCAACGCCACTGGAAAATAATCAGGCTTCCAAAAAATGCATTGGAGTTGTCACAGTAAAGTCGCTGCAGTCGGGCACAGTGTGAACTCCACAGCTGTGGTTAAAGGAAAACAGCACTTACAAAAATGTGACCTCAATTTTAAAGCAAACTGATTACAATGGAAAGCCTGGTTTCCTCCGACGGTGCCATTTGAACCTGGTTGGGTGGCGTTTCTCCTTGTTCAGGGGCTGCGCACCATTCATCATGTATACTTCACTTTCTTGATAAGTGCATGGCATGGGATTTCCTGCATATAACTCTTTTACTACAGGTTTTCCATCTGTCTTTTTTTTATTTTTTTTTTTATTTCTTCACAGTGGATTTTGCATTGAAGTAATGTGTGCGCTAACGGTACTTGTAGCCTCAAATGTGGGTATTCCAATAAGCTCCACCCATTGCAAGGTATTGGAGTTTGCAGTGATCACATCAGTAAATCACATCACTAGGACAAACCATAACAAAATACAAGAGATACCAATTGTTGCAGGCTGCCTTCACTATGCAATGTGCTGTGCAGACAGCAATGGCAAAGTAACAATGACAACTTTTAAAGCTGGTACAGACAGCTAAGCAAAGTCAGCATTAGAAGTAATTGCACAAAAGTCTGGAACATCTTTCACCCTTTCATAATTGTATCGAACTAATATAGACATATTAAAATGACGTAGACTTGTAGTTTGTGTGTCCCAGTTATGTGTATTTTAGAGCTACCTGTATGAAAAAGCAACCCACTGCTACATCATTAAGCTAACATTTTAATGTCTCTCTTCTTTTAAACCAATCTGTCCTCACTTTTGTGCATTCTAAGACAGAATATAGCCCTTGTAATTAGTTCTTTGAACAAGGTTCTTGGCTTTAAAAAGAAAACAAAACCAAACCACTGACAGGTTCAAAGTATAGGTATAAGCTGGGTAATGAACAGAATTTAATGGTGTCGTATGATACGCTGTGTGAAAAGTCATTTATAGTGCTTGTAGGCAACAGGGAGCATGTGGACATTTACACTGCTGGAAGAACATAGTGGGAATTTGGAATTTTGTTCCCCGGGAAATTCCCATGTCAAATTCCATCTTTCTTTCCTTTGCTTCCCCATGGACTCCCAAGCTCTTGGAAGCACAGAGCTGTCTGTACCCCACACCCGCTGGCGGGTGAGCAGAAGGCCCTCTGAAATCAGAGACCCGAGGGTGGCAAAGCCCCTCTGCTTTGGCACATACCACCGAGCCCTACCAGAGCCAGATCCTGCAAGATTCGCTGCTGCACCCTGGGGACCGTGGAGCCCTTCCAGCTCTGGCTGGGGCTGGGGCAGGAAGGTTTTGGGGGCTAACTGCTCCATGGCACGGCATGCGGGCTGGCAAGAAGTCAGGCATCCTTGCCTGTGACATTGACCTGGTTTCCAGTGAAAGAGTCAATGAAATCCACACATCCTGCAAAACGTCCCAAGTTGGTTCAATTGGCCTTTTTCTAGTGAAAACAATTTCTTCAGAAAGCTTTCCTCTATTGCAAAATCATTTCTTTCTTCTGCTGTAGAGCTCTTTGAGAAGCAGCCAAGACTGAGCTGCTCTGAAAGGCTGTTCAGATTTCCTGGCATTGGCCGAACTCTGGTTCCACTGAATCGAGTAGGGAGGGGAAAAATAATAACAATGTGATCCACTTCTAAAAATGCTAGCCTGAAACCAGCTCCCTTTAAGCTGACTGGTATATCAAATGCATGAAGAAGAATTTGCCAGGGAGAATAATACAGCTTTGATTATCCCAGTTGTGTGCCTGAAGCACTTCTAGCCAACCGCTGTAAAAGAGAAAATACACTTTGGTGCAGACAAATACACTGAAGTCAAAAAGAAAATGTCTTGGAAGCCATAAGCTAACGAGAGTCTGGCATTAGGAGGCATTCACTGATTCACTACAGTTAAAAGCTTGGTCTTTTCTAACTGTGGAACAAAATAATTCTCTTTAAAAAATACTTCCATAAAAGCAGGTAATGTGGTTAGTCTGTGTCTGCTCCCTGTAGTTTACTCTATCTCATTAGATGGATCATTCATAATGGGAAGAACTACTTTGGAATAGGATTAGGCTGTTCCAGAATGTCACATTATTATAACTGACTCTGTATGTCACCAAAATAAGATCCTGAGTTGAAAGATCCAAAGTGATGAACACAAGAGAAAAAGCAAACACCTGTAACAGATGTATTCCTTGTTTTCTTGAGGGGCCCCATGAAGGAAGAAAAGAACTATTCAATAACACTAGTCAATGGAACATGTAGCAATTAGATAAACCAGTGGCAAAGAAGTGTGAAACACCTTACGTGGAGAGAGACCTGTTCAAGGTGAAACAATAGACTATAATGAAAATGACCAGTTTGACCATGTATGAAGGAAAGCTCTAAGCAGCAGCTTTCAGGTCTCGGAGCAGATTTGGTGGCAAACAGCAAGTTGGTAGCAGGAAGAAAAGCATTAGCTTCCGAGACAGTTTCGTCAAGTCTTCTCATATCAGGAGTTGCATTCGGTCCTAAATTCAGAGGCTTTGCTCTACATTAGGTAGTCACTGCCTGCTGTGCCTGTTCTAAATCTACAGCCCCGCAGCTCTTCCATGCTCCATGCTGCTGAGAGCCTGAACTGCACCTTTATCCTTGCCACTAGTCAAAGAGGAAAGTCCCTCTGAAACTGTCCAAGTCCAGAAGGCCTGAGGGAAAGACCTAACCTTTTGAGCCTCTAAAGGAATTTGTGAATCTTAACACAGTAGCCACATTGCTTTGCCTGCAACCCTTCAACTTCCCTTAGGATTTAGCACTAAAAAGCCAGTGTGGTGTGAGTGCATACCTTGCCTTTCTGCTGCTAGTTAGGCAAATAATAATAATGCATCTTACACATAGAAGCTGTTATTTATTCTAAGGTGAATGAGACGTGGAAACAAACAGGCATTTCTCAGCTATAACAGATGGAATGTGTTCACATATGGAGAAGATTAGAGTGCAGGAGTTAAATGCTTTTTCTGTGCAAAAGTGACTTTGCTGAGGTCATACTGTCAGCTCTGATTTGCTATTAAGATTTTGTGGTTTTGAAAAATATTCTCTGTGTTGCTATGATGGAATTATCATGTTCTGTGTATTGTCATGACATGCCATTGCACAGGAACAAGAGGGCCAGAAGCATTTCTATAATGCTTTAAGCAGAGCATACTGAAGGCAAACTGCACTGGTTTCAAACCAATCTCGAAGTAGCTGTCATCTGAAATTCTGCGGATGGTGTAGTGTCCCTACACCCGAGTTTTAGCAACTCTCCTAACCTCTAGTTCATCAAAATCACTATTAATAAACTAAACTCTAATAATGTGTAAAACAGATTACCAATGCCATCACTGCTGATACCTTTTAAATTTCAGTAAGGACTCAGAGAGTATCTTATGTAGACCGCACGCTTGCTCAATGAGCAATGCTTCTTGTTGCAAGCATGACAGATGGATGCTAAGGACATACCAAATGTAAAACACAGCCTAACATCTGAGCTGCTGAAAAACCAAACGCTCTTTCCTCAGTTTAACTCTTTGGTAGAGTCAGAAGTGTGAGGTTCCTCTTAGCTGGGCACCCCTAAATACACTTACACCTCCTAAATACAGAACAGCATACTCTCCACTCAGGGGGTATTCAGATTAAATATTATCTAACAGATATCCCTATTGGATCAAGCCTTATACTGAGGCCTTTTCAGTCCTAGAATATCAAGTTTAGTTTTCCCTTCCACAGGTAACTCTTTTCTCCAAAAATAAATGTTAAGTGGTAGTTAGAAGTTAAGTAGGCTGTAACAAAAGATGTGGATCTGATGCCACCATTCTAGCTCTCCCTGCTTCCCTGATCTCCCAGCATTTATCGCTTTCCTGGCTCTGCATGTGGGGATCAGCCGTCTTCTAATCTATAGGCAGGGACTGATATTCCCGTAAGAAAACAAGCAGGGAAGAGGAGGCAGGGATGGCATTTCAGGGAGCACAACCCGAGCTGTGTCTTGGAGTTTCCTTCGAAACAGGGTATTCCTTCCACATTTCTTGATGCTTTACAGTGTTGTTTGAATAGACATGTACATGTTTTTGTTGACAGGATGGAGGGCCACTTCCAGGGCAGGAAGAAAATGCAGCATTTCTGATGTTTTTGCATTATTTTTCACTGGAAATGTTTTCATCAGTCCAGTTCTTAAAAAAAAATATTCTCAGTTTATACCTGAGCTTATTAACTGAAAATACACCTGAAGGGAGAAAAGGTTGTAGCTTTCCCCATGCTGCAGTGTGTTTTGTCTTCAAAAGCACTGGCCTTGATGTCTGTGCAGTTTGCATGTCCCATGGCATCAGGCTGATGTCTCTGTGCATAGGGAGGATTTTAACTCTCAGTGCTTTGCTTGCCTGCCTGGCCCAGAAGGGCTGGTTTTCTCAGAGGGTTTGGACGGAGGAGCTTGATGTAGGCAGCTGTACCAAGTCTAACCTTGCACAGTCTGTCTGCTCCCTGCCAGGTTACCGTCTCTGTTACAGGGTGGACTCAGCTGCTTATATTGCTGTTGCTGTCCTGTTTATAGCCTGCAGTATTGAAATAGTAGGTTCAGCACCTGGTGGGTGAACAGGCAGGACAACCCAAAACAGCAAGAGGGCAGGCATGTGGGACAGGAGCTACACTAACTAACCCAACTTGCCCAATGCCACCATCTCCAGCAGAGCCTTAAAAGCAGCTTTCCCTTTGCTCTCATAATTTAGAGCACAGTCTGGACAGACTTGGAGGATGCTTACCCTCTCCCCTGCAGACTAAATAAGGTGCTGTGTGAGTGGAGGGCTGCCTGGGTTGCTCTCTTGGCTGATCCAGGAGCCAGCAGGATAGAGAAAAACAAACTTATTTAGTGTCCTTTGGCTGAGCCCAAGACCCATGAAATACAGGAGGTCATTGAAAAATAAAGGTCAAAGCATCCTGGAAGTATCACCATCCTGCCACCCCACCAGAACAGAGCCACCATCATCATCAGGAGCTCTTTTATCTCAGAGTATCGATTGGTATCAGCTGACTGGCATTGGTGTGGCTGTAGGCACATTATGGGCTCTCAGACCTACTCCTCACATCTTGTCTCTCCCTCTCTCATCCCTGCGGTCCCAAGGTTGGCTCCGTGGTGGCTGTTGGCTGGATCCGCTCCAAGAAAGCCGTCGACTGGCGCCTCTTCCGAAACATCTTCTTGGCATGGTTTGTGACTGTGCCGGTGGCTGGCTTGTTCAGCGCCGGGGTGATGGCACTGCTGATGTACGGGATCCTGCCTTACATCTGAAGAGCCTCCTCCACTGGGAAAAGGGGAAATGGCCAAGCTACTACCACGGGGAGAAGTGTTCCCAAGAAAGAACCGGTCGGAGAGGATCCATCTTCCATATCTTAACTTCTTATCTACTGTACATAACAATGTGTCATATTGGTGACATGGTGATGTGGTGCCATTTCTTATATATTAAAGAAATATATATACATATAGTAGGTAACAATACCTAAGTTATATTATCAGTGGGGTGAAAATAATTGCCTAGAATTTAATATTTAGTAAAATTTGTACATAGTGTATCATTTCGGTGGCAATTTTTTAATCTTTTGGAGAAGAGTATGGATTAGGAAATGTTTCTTGTCCATTTGATATAAGAAGAAGCGAGGTACAGGGCTGCATAACACATGAATTTTTTTAAAGCTATTAAGATACTGGAACAAAATAAAATGTGCAGAAGTGCTTTTCATAAAATAACTTTGTTCATGTCATATTGATCTTTGTGTATCATAGCGTGATGGTTATGGCTGTGTAAATACTTACTAATGGTAACTTTTAAATGGTGCATTTCCCTTATATATTTTGGATAAGAAAGTTTAGGAAGTACCAAAGAAGCAGGGGAATAGCTTGCCGATATTATGTTGTCTACACATGTGGGCGTGTGTTGTGTTTCCCCACCTCTAACTCAATGTTGTATTCACCAAGCTCCCGCCAGCGAGGCGGGGATAGTACTGTTCATGTCTTAATGTAACTTAAAATGAAACAAAGCAAAAAGCGCACACAAAAATACTTAGTTCTTGTTACTTAGTAGGCAAACCACAGTTCTCCATGCTAGCTGATAGTAGACTGACTTCATTTTGTGGGTTGAATTTGAAATATCTCACTGCTCACCTTCTACCCTTCCCCTTCAAGTCTCAGCTCCTGGTTGCACTGCTATCAATTCCAGTGGGAGAACAGACCCTCAGTCTCCCGTCTTCCTGTCCATCCAGCCACAACCACACACTCTCAGGTACAGGAGTGGGACCGTGGGCTGCATGGCAGCACCATGTACAGAAGCAAAGGGCAGCAGCAAGTAGGAACTGGGCTTGGCCCTGGTTTTATGGTTGAAGGTATGGGTGCCCACAGGAGTGCTGCCCCACATAGGGGCCGATGTGAGGAGCATGGCAAGGATGTGAGCAGATGCTGGGTTTCCTAGGGTGAGTCCCATCCCATGCCACAGCCTGCCAGCCTCCTGCCATGCTGCTGACTGAGAGGAGGGAACGGGAGCCTGGATCTGCATGAATGGAGGTTGTTGTGTGCTAACCGGCATTTGGGATGAGATTTTGTCATGGCAGCTCAGGGGAAAATGGCTAGCTACATCCCCTGCATGGCTTTGGAAAGCACAAGGTTACTGTTTTGTGGGTGGGAGGCAAAGGGCAAGGGGTGCCCGAAGAAGATTGGGAATCTATTACTGTTTCAATGCTGCTAAAATTTTGATAAAATGTTCTTGGTACTCCATTGTGACTTTTCCATTGGTCATTCATACTAAATTTATAATAAAAAGATAAATGGCCCCTATCACTGTTTGCCTTTTGAGTTTTTCGAGCGTGTCTCAGTCATGCCAGCTGTAATGGGAAGGCTTCATGGGCAGCTAAAACCTACTCCTTGGCATCCACCACCTTTTGTCCTTTGTCCACTGTGGATGAAACTGCTCTGTGCAGCACTGACAAAAGCCCCCTTTTTCTTCTTGCTGTCCCGGCAGCCCCAGCACTCAGCCCTCGCTCTGCCTGGGGCTTGGCTCATGGCAAGTGTTGCGAGCTCTGTGGATCCTTCAGGTGTGTTCACCAAGCACTTGCTGGCTCCAGCTGCTCCCCTGACTTCCTTTCGGGGTCCCTGTAAGCATCCCCACCGTGGCACTTGTTTCCAACCCCTCTGAAACCCTAGAGCCACTGTATAAATAACGCTAGCAAACATGTGGGACTGATGAGCAGCAGCTGAGTGACCAGAGCAGCCAGTCAATGCACAATGGCAACCTGGGACCTGTGGAACAGGACAGAACAACTCACCTTATCTTAGCACTTGCATAAACAAACGCCTGCCCAGTGGCCCAGCAGGTTGCCACCTTGTTTTATCTACAGAGGCAAACCAGACTTCTGTTACTCCAGAGGCAGTGGGCTGTGCCAGATCCAGGGGGTATGTGATATATCCCCAGCAAAGGCATCTGGGCGTCTGTCAACACACACGCTGATGAACAGAACTGTTATGAGCAAAATGGCCAGCAAGGCAGCATCTCAAAAATATCCCCACCCCAAACACAGTGACCTTTAATCTGGAGGGAGATGGTAAAGTTACTTTCTCCATGTCATAGAGGTGTCCTTTGCCACCCAGGGAAGGAAAATCACCACAGCAGAAGCTGGTGAAATGCTCTGCAAAGACGGGCATGATGAAAATGCCCCTCACTCGGGCAGCAATCAAAATAAGTACATTTATTACAAGTGAAAACTCTTTTAACTGAAGAATTGCAGTCTGAATTTCAGAAGCCAAAGTGTCTATTGTGGCTCACGGACCACTGGTATATTCTTGACTGAAACCAGCCTCAGAAGAGCCAGGGGGCAGGGTGTGAAGGTGCTTGTAAGATTGTAATCACTGTCATCAACTTTTCCTGGTGCCTCCGGTCTCCACCCCACTTAGTTGCCAGATTTCCCAGCTTGCTCTTGCTCTGGGAGTTGTTTCATCCCTCCATGTTTGTCTGATGGTCACTGAGCTGTTGTTGGACTTGTTTTGCCACCAACCCTGCCCTGCTTGTGGTGGTTGGCAGTGTGCCCCACACTGGTGAGCTTAACTACATCCTGGTTTGTCCATGGAGCAGCCTTGTTCTCCCAGCACCTTGCTGCCGGCCTCCTGCCTCCAAGGTAGGTGCCCTGTGCACTAGTGATGGGTCAGACTGGCCGAGCACCCCTTGGGGCAGGGGGTCTGCCCATGCTACAGCTACTGAGACTGGTTTTGGTGTTGATAACTTAATGCTCCTTGCAAAGCTGTGTGTGGTGTGAGATCCCAGAAAATACAGCTGGGGAATGCATGGGGCAGGGCAACACAAAGGTACAGGGGCCTTAGTTTGCAGTAGCGGGATTTGGGTGGCTTTGTGAGAGCTCCTAGCCCAAGCTTGGGGACCTGGGTGTCCCCACACTGGAAGATGGCATAGCAGGGGTTCTAAGATAAGCCACTGATACTGGAAAAGACTGGGATGGATAGCTTTTTCAGTGAACAGGTTTTTGATGAACAGATTGAGTCCTGTGCATTTCATGTTCTGGCTACTTCTCTAGGGAAGTAGAAAAGGGTCTTTTGAAAGGTTTAAGGACCTCTGGTTTTGTGCTCATCCTTTTGTTGAACTTGCTTTAGTGACACTAATGAGATGGCCTGATGGATCTGATGGAGCATTGATTCCATCTCCTGGTTGCAGAAAGAAAGTCGGAATTGGAGTAAGATTATATTGCCACTGCGAAGCTTTGTAAGCCTCTTTCTTCTAAGCAGGATGGCAAACCAGAAAGGAATTATGCATGAACCACGCTTATCCCAGGTGAAGTTGTACAAATAACTAAATACCGTGCACAGCTTAATTTCTGATATCTTGGATCTTGGGAGAAAAATCGATTTCTGTTGCATTGAACTAAATTACATTTTCATACTGATTGACACAACCAGACTTTGCTCCTACTTGTCTTGCAAAAGTAACCATTATCTAACTTTATTTAGTTCTTGAAACAGGCTGTGATGCTATT